CTAACTAGAAGTAACTTCTATTTAACAAACTAACTAGAAGTAACTTCTATTTAACAAACTGACTAGAAGTAACTTCTATTTAACAAACTAACTAGAAGTAACTTCTATTTAACAAACTAACTAGAAGTAACTTCTATTTAACAAACTGACTAGAAGTAACCAGTTTGTTAAATAGAAAAATAGAAGTTACTTCTAGTTAGTTTGTTAAATAGAAGTTACTTCTAGTCAACAAACTGACTAGAAGTAACTTCTATTTAACAAACTGACTAGAAGTAACTTCTACTTAACAAACTGACTAGAAGTAACTAAAGTATGAAATCAAAACAAGCAAACTATAACCTATAAGACTAAAATGCATTGAATCATCAGATGGATATCCTCACTAGTAACGTTATCTTCAGTCGTAAACCAAAAATATATTTAATTTAGTCCTACATCTAAGTATTTGACTAACAGTAACAATGAAAAACGATCTTCGTAAGTGTAAGCATTAGTTATAGTAATAATGTTCAAAATTATTTTAAAACTAACTTCAAAGAAAAAATATGTACGATAGACTGACTATATAGATGATCGTAGATTAATATCCACACGAGTAGATTTTCTTCACTAGGTTTCCAAGATAGCTGTCTTCTGGTTCTTGTGATAACATGGTAGAGGCATGTTTCCTCGCCAAGAAGAAGGGTGAACAACCGTATAAATCATTTGGCAAAATCGTAGCATAAAAATGTGCACTCTTTATATCTATAACGGCCTGATTTCACTCATATAAATCATGTGGTTTCTTAAGAAAATAAGCTAAGGACATTCACCTAAATGTGGATTAAAAACACATTTCACTTAACGTAAGCTAAAAATGACCATTTTACTTACAATGACATTTCATACAAATGTAATGAGTGTAGCCCAAACCATCTCTTTTGTAAATGATTGTTATTAAATAAAAATTCAAAAATCTCATGTGGACCGTCACTATTCCACTTCACCAACAAGTGAGTTGGTCCTTACTGTACAAAGTCACTGTATTCTACTGAGGTGTTCCATTATCTAACAATGTGCTTGTCGCTACACCAGGTTGTTCAAAGTCACCGTATTCCGCTGAAATGTTCCATTATCTAACAATGTGCTTGTCGTCACACCAGGTTGTTCAAAGTCACCGTATTCCGCTGAGATGTTCCATTATCTAACAATGTGCTTGTCGCCACATCATGTTGTTCAAAGTCACTGTTTTCTGCTGAGTGTTCCACCATCTAATAATGTGCTTGTCACCACATCATGTTGTTTAAAGTCACTGTATTCTCCTGAGGTGTTCCATTATCTAACAAAGTGCTTATTGCCACATAAGATTGTTCAAAGTCACTGTATTCTCCTGAGGTGTTCCATTATCTAACAATGTGCTTGTTGCCACATCAAATTGTTCAAAGTCACTGTATTCTCCTGAAGTGTTCCATTATCTAACAATGTGCTTGTTGCCACATCAAATTGTTCAAAGTCACTTAATTCTCCTGAGGTGTTCCATTATTTAACAATGTGCTTGTCGCCACACCAGGTTGTTCAAACTCATTGTATTCCGCTGAGGTATTCCATTATCTAACCGGCTCGGCATGGCCAAGTGGTTAGGGGTGCTCGACTCGCAATCTGCGGGTCGCGGGTTCGAATCCCCGTCACACCAAACATGCTCGCTCTTTCAGCCGTGGGGGCATTATAATGTGACGATCAATCCCACTATTCGTTGGTAAAAGAGTAGCCCAAGAGTTGGCGGTGGGTGGTGATGACTAGCTGCCTTCCCTCTAGTCTTACACTACTAAATTAGGGACGGCTAGCGCAGATAGCCCTTGTGTAGCTTTGCGCGAAATTCAAAACAAAAAACAAACCATTATCTAACAAAGTGCTTGTCGCCACATCATGTTGTTCAAAGTCACTGTATTCTCCTGAGGTGTTCCATTATCTAACAATGTGCTTGTCGCCACATCATGTTATTCAAAGTCACTGTATTCTCCTGAGGTGTTCCATTATCTAAGAATGTGCTTTTCGCCACATCAGGTTGTTCAAGTTTGCTTCTGATCAAATCAGTTTTTAATTCATTCAAAAGAGTACTCGTCGTCACATCAGTTTGTTCAACAGTGTGCTTGCGACCACACATCAGGTTGTTCAACAGCGTGCTTCTGATAAAACAGCATGTTGTTGAACAGAGGGCTTGTCATTATATTAGCTAGTTCAAGTGTGATTGTGATTACATTCGTTTGTTCAACAGAATGCTTGTTGTCACATCACTTTCTTCACGTGTGCTTGTCGTCACATCAGTTTGTTAAACAGAGTTTTTGTCGTCACATTAGTTTGTTTAAGTGTTTATGATCACATCAGTTTGTTCAACAGTGTGTTTGTGATCATACCAGTTTTTTTAAAGGATGCTTGCCGTCACATCAGTTTGTTCAACAGTGTGCTTGTGATCACACCACTTTATGTAAAGGATTCTTGCCGTCACATCAGTTTGTTCAATAGAGTACTTGGCGTCATATCACCTTGTTCAACAGTGTGCTTGTGATCACACCACTTTATGTAAAGGATTCTTGCCGTCACATCAGTTTGTTCAACAGAGTACTTGGCGTCACATCAGTTTGTTCAATAGAGTACTTGGCGTCATATCACCTTGTTCAACAGTGTGCTTGTGATCACACCACTTTATGTAAAGGATTCTTGCCGTCACATCAGTTTGTTCAACATAATACTTGACGTCATATCATAGTGTTCAAGAGAGTTCTTATCGTACATCGTAGTCTAGATGATATGGTACTGTTTCCTGTTTGTTTTCTTAAGTTAATGGCAACATATATTTTTTTTATTTTATTTTTTTTGCCTTATCAAAAGGAAACGCATGATTTATCGAACCAGAAAATTGTGATATAATAGAAGTAAAGAATGACGTGGATTAGGCACCAGTTTACGTAGTAAAACTAAAACCGAAACATAAACCAAAACCACCACCACTACTTCTACTATTAATACTACTGCATCTTGCTCCAGCTGGTGAAAATTTCCGTTTCAGTGAAAAGAGATAATAAAACAAGTCGTTGAGATATCATCTGGACCAGCTGCAGAAAAGAACTGATCAAACATATGACTGTGCTTATTAATAAGGTAATGTTATTTATATTTCCTTTTGAGAAACTTCTATTACGCACATTAGTTGTGCTTACTACAGTATAATATTTTCTAATATGTAAGATGTGGCTTTTTTCCTATTTATTGGATGTATTGTGAAAATTACTAACATTGTACATATGTATTTACTGGTGTTAAGTGTATTTATAATAATGTGTGTGTGTTATGCTTAAAAAAAGAAATTAGAATTTTACATGCCTCAATCTAGCAGCATAATCAAATCAATGTCAGTTTAAATTACAGAGGTGTTCGGTTTTGACTTTCATCTCAATCGCTATACTTTACAAGCACGTAAAGCTACAAAGTCCGGCAACGTTTGATTATTATTATAGAACGTGTTATGGGGCCTTGTATGGCAAGACTATGATGTAGCTACTACACAGCTATAAAAATTAAGTACATTAAGACGGAAACAGTAAGACAAAATAACCACAAGAATAGTCGTCAATAACTTTCATCTTAGCAAACAAATTAATGCCACGAACAGTGTTGGGTTCGAACCTTTATTATGACAACTTTTAGAGTTTGATTGGTACGGCTAAAAATACCGTTAATAACAAGGGAATTCATCAGCGATGATTCAATCCATTCTAACTGTTACAGGTTTCAGTTTTCTTTCCGTTTAGATGGTTGGATATTTATGCAGAACATGGTGCGTTGAGTTTTGATGGTTGTATCTTTATTCAGAACGTGGTGAGTTTAATTTACATGGTTGTATTTTATCCAGCATATGGTGTATTCAATTTATATGGTTGTATATTTATTCAGAACATGGTGCGTTCAGTTCAGATGGTTGCATCTTTATCCAGAACATGGTTCATGCAGTTTAGATGGTTGCATCTTTATTCAGAACATGATACGTTCTGTTTAGATGGTTGTATCTTTATCCAGAACATGCATAGGTATGTTTAACTTGATCTATCAAAAACACGTTGAGTTTAGTTTACATGGTTGTATCTTTATGCAGAACATGCTGAGTCCAGTTGAGATGGTTGTATCTTTATCCAGAGCATGGTGAATTTAGTTTACATGGTTATATCTTTATCCAGTACATAGTAGTTTCAGTTTAGATGGTTGTTTCTTTCCCCAGAACTTGGTGCATTCAGTTTAGATGATTGTATCTTTATGCCGAACATACTGAGTTCATTTGAGGTGGTTGTATCTTTATCCAGAGCATGGTGCATGCAGTTTAGATGGTTGTATCTTTATTCAAAACATAATACTTTCTGTTTAGATGGTCGTATCTTTATACAGAGCATGCATATGTGGGTTCAACTTGATGGTTGTATCTCTATCGTGAACATGCTGAGTTCAGTTTACATGGTTGTATCTTTATGCAGAACATGCTGAGTCCAGTTGAGATGGTTGTATCTTTATCCAGAGCATGGTGAATTTAGTTTACATGGTTATATCTTTATCCAGTACATAGTTCTTTCAGTTTAGATGGTTGTTTCTTTCTTCAGAACTTAGTGCGTTCAGCTTAGATGATTGTATTTTTATGCAGAACATGCTGAATTAAGTTAAGATGGTTGTATCTTTATCCAGAACATGGTGCATTCAGTTCTGTGATCTCAAACGTTTTCCTTTCGGTAACATGTCATCATTTCTATTAATATTTTAATAATGTTTTTAATTTACATTAAATTGGATAAAACATTCGTGTGAAGTTTTTTCTGTGAACTGAAATTTAAAGTGTAAAAGAAGAAGAAAAAAGAAGCAAAGTGGCATTTGTTTACAAAAGGCAAAAATTTAAACGTATTGACAAACTAGAAACATTTGATTATGGTAGAATCGTTATTCATGACCTTTTTCATTTATAATCTCATTGATTCACACGCGTATATATCAATTTAGTGCTTATTTTTATTATTGCTTAATATATTTCATCTTTTTTAATGTATTTTAAGATTTCCAGCTTTTCTAAACTATGTAATTAACTTCATTAGCAGTATGATACTATAAATAATATATTTTCCTGTCATTGTATTGTGTATTTTACTAAGAAAAGCATAAATCTGGAAATAATCTACAGAATGCTTGATTTTTTTTTCATGTCCTTTATATACGTTTATTTGGATTTTCCATCAGCCTGAATCAAGTCAAGAGATATATATTCGAAACTTCACCCTAAAAGAAATAGTAAAAACAGTGAAGAAAGTAAGACATCACTTATGGATCAGATTGACAGGTTCTTTCTACTAGGACAGTGTAAAGTACGTAACTTTTCTTGTACTCTAAAATAAATACTAGTATTTTTTTAGTTTTGCTTTATTTAAGTTCGTATTTGGCATTTTCCATCAGAATATGACCTTATGAAACACGTGAGCTAAACGGCCAATCCAGAAACACCCATAATTCAGGAATAACTGTCATTAAGTTTTCAGAATTGCAGGTCAGAGAAAGAGCAGCCAGTTAGTAGTACCCGCTGTCTATAAAGAAGCTACCCTTGACACACTGCAATAGACTGTCACAACTATAACGCCCACACAGTTGAAAGAGCGGATCGTACATACTCAGCGACGTTAATTAAAGTTGAGCCATAAACTTAGAAAAACTTAAGTAAATATTATGTAGAGTTACTCTTAACTTTGGGCAACTGATCAATCTTCCTGTTGTTAGATGTTTCTTTTACCTTTGTAGTAAAGTTTATCAGACGGCTTAAGAATGAAGAATTTCATTATAAAAAAACTCAAAAGGTTTATATTCTAACTTGTGGGTATCTTTAAACCTAAATATACACTACAACTTTTTCAAATTTAAATATCAAAAATCTATCATCTATATTTAAGACTTTAGATGTTGTGTATAAGTTTAAATGTCCTAAATGCTTGTTTTTTTTATATCAACATTGAATCTACAACCAAGTGGCTTCAATCTCGCATACAAGAGGGTATAAATTTAAGACTAACATTGTTTTCCTGCATTAAGAACTATGCGTTAAATGAATGTAATAAGGCTATAGGCAGTTTAAAGTCCTCACAAAAGCAAATTAGTGAGCATAAACTGCACATAAAAGGAATAAAATTGATCAGTAGACTTAAAACGAAGGTTTAATGGCTAAAACAACGTGCAGTTGATTTATAATTAATCTTGCAAGCGATGTTACACGGTAACCAATGTGTGAACAGTAAATACTGCTGCTTATAAGCCTCATTAAGAGACACGTTAAGTACAAACAGCAAATCATGAACCACATAGTGGTTCATAATAGGGATCGCTTAGTAATTGCACAAAAATACTAACAGAACAAAAACAATCTTAAAAGGCAGACTTGTTCTAGAAAAAACACTCAAGACATTCTATTTCAATGGCTAAGGCTGATAAAATATTGATAATAGCAAAAAAAGTTGATTTTCCGATTGTTAGACAAAATTCAAAATTCATCCATTTGTTCTTCGTATTATTATTGTTTCACAAGTCTACAGAAAAAAACAACGGCTATAAGTATTTTACTTAAACCTGCGCAAAACTACTAAATAACTCCTGCGCAGGTCATAGGACTATTTTTATGTTGATTATTGGAAGAAAAGGAGGGGTTTTATCAGTTTTTTTTCATCGCTACTGTCCAATTTCTTCTTCGAACCCATTCAAGAACCAAAATGGCTAGGTACAATGCGCCAAAATCTATGCACAGCTACTAAAAAGACTGCCGCGAAGGTTGTAGGGCTACTTTTAAGTTAATTCTTGAAAGTCGAGATTTCTACCCTCTAAAATTTCTAAGGTCTTCGCTACCAACATAAGCTCTTCAGAGATATCCATGCATCGCAGAAATATAGAAGCCATTTAAGCACCGTTATGCTAGTCGGAAACGCTCCATTTTATACTAGTCCGAAACGCTTCGTTTTATTAGAGTAAACAATGTGTATATTTATAACAGTGTCTCCAGCTTTATTATTATCATTGTTGTCATAGGGTAGTTTTAGAATTAATTCTAGCGTTTTCATTTTTTCGCCCTGAAGCTCTAAGTCCTTTACTTTCTACCATAGAAAAATACTGGTGTTTTATGAATTCGCATTAATTGGAAAATGATTTGTACAAGTTATAGCGCATTAACTGGAAATTGCCATGTTGAGGATTCATCATTTCTCGAGTTCGCTGTTGTACTTGTCTCTATATAGTTTTCTGCGATTATTTCAGTGAGTTTCCCAACAGTAGACGATTACCATAGTAGATTTCTCTACTTTTGTGAGTGGTGATTTATTTTATTGATTTTCGTACTTCGCTGAAATTGTGAATGTGTATTTTAATATTACTATTCATATTTTTGTTTCACAAGCCTACAACAAAATCGGTGGGTATTTTACCCCAAAACTTAGACAGAAATATCAATTACTTTATGAAACGCTGCGAATGTCCATGATCTATTTAAAAATTTGATTATATTTCATTGAAAGTTGATTTACTTGGCTATAAATACATAATTTATGCGGCTCCCTTTATACTCTATGAACGCATACGCTCGAATGTAACTGAAAATGTATCCTCCATAAATGGACATAAACAACTTAAGAAACAAAATACTTAAACATCGCTAATAACATAAAACAACAGGTGGTTTTGCTGTATCCTTCGGAACTTATGACGTTATAATTCGGGACCCGATCCCTGCATTTGACAGGGGTGCAGATAGCCCACATTGCAGCTACTGAAACAAAATCACACATCTCCTGATTAGCCTATTGTTACCGAAGTATGGTGTAGATTGATCTTATTTTATCTTATTTAAATTCACAATATTAACAAACCTGTGCAGGCAGGTAGGTGTCTTGCTACAGAACCCGATTTCATGATTTTCATACTGCTTAAATCTACTTAAGTACATTAACGAATCATCTCACTTTTTATTATTATTATCATTTACGAACGAAGTAAACAAAAGCTTTACATCATACTACCATTCACAAAGCTAGGCAGATGTAGTACGTAATTCTTTACTACAGGTAACTGACCTAGTAGTCAGCCCCAACACCTTTACCAGTTGCAGACAAACACATTTGTGGCACTGCTATTCATAACAAAAAGGGTCTCTCATATACACAAACCAGTTTTGAACATTATACGTGTTTCTCAGTTTTAAGGGACCGTCTCTGAATTTCATTGCCAGGATATCGATAAGGTTTTTTATGAGTTTAATGGCAGCCAAACTAACTTATTTTTCTGACTTGAGCCCGTTTTCACGTTTCGTTTACCAATCTTCTACAACACGCTTTTATTTATTGTACTATTCATCATTTTTAACAGCGACCATTATTATTTTATTATTGTTCTTTTTTTAACTTGAAGTTTTGTTCAGAATGTTAACATTTCTCAATTATTCTTTATACTTAGGCCTGAAGATCAGTTTTTGTTTGTGTTTTCGATGATGTTTTTATTGTTAATTTTCTTGCTTTGTTTTTCTGAACTGTCAACTTATTTTTACCACATATTTTTCATACAGTTTAGTTACATTTTAGAAATGAATATATTTATAATGTGTTAACATTGTAATCGACACATTATATTTTTTTACACTTTAACTCTCTAATTAGGCTGAATTATTTGCCCCTCGGTGGCTCAGTGATATGTCAACAGCCTTACGACGCTAAAAACCGGGCTTGGATACCCGCGGTTGGCAAAGCACATATAGCCCATTGTGTAGCTCTATGCTTTAGAGCAACTGAATTATTTGTTTTTATCTTGTTTTAAGTAATACACACGTACTTCTACAAGCACACACACACACACACCCCGGTGACTCAGCGGTAATTCTTATAGCTTATAACGCTAAAAATCGGGCTTCGATACCAACTGACTAGTTACCTAACCACTGGTCAGTAACTCAAAATCCAAGAGCGTCTGCCTATAAATATTCTGGGTTTCTTACTTGGCTGTTTAGTAAATGTGCGCATAAGTTGTCGCTCGGAGTGAATGTTCCAGTTTTCAAATGTTAGAAATAACACATACGACGCACGATAACCATGTCACCTTTAGCGACAAGCCAGTTTTAGAGTTGTCATCAGAATGTTCGCTCTGTGTTAAGTCCATAAGCTAGAGCTTCAGATAAACACGTGTTTATCATGTCAACAGGTCTCATACGCTTCTTAAATTTCTGCAAGACATAAAAAATTAGGTTGTGATTATCCAAAAGGTAGAGTATACAGTTGTTCATGAGACCACTGTGTCAATGGGCCCAACAGTTGTTCATGAGACCACTGTGTCAATGGGCCCAACAGTTGTTCATGAGACCACTGTGTTAATGGGCCCATTCTGTTTATTTTTGTTTTTTTTCTCGCTCATGTAATTTTTAAGTTGGAAATTCAGTACTTTAAAAGCAATATATATATATATAGGTAAAAGATTGTTTTAATAAACAAAAATATAATGTAAAAACACGATGATATGTGAAAAAAAAGATACTCACAGAAATTAATTTACTTTTGGACCAGCTGTGGTCTTAATCCGATCCTGTAGGACACTTAACAATAACCGTACAAATACAGTGCCTTGCAAAAGAATTCACCCCCTGCAATGTTTTCACACTTTGTTGTCGTCTGTAAAGGTCGTCAGTGTTCATACATCGACAAAATTTCAGTCCCTACACAAAGCTGGCCAGTATCGGCGAATGGCAAGAAAGAAGCCATTACTGAAAAAGAATCGTCTTAAATCTCGTATGAAGTTTTGTGACAAAGCATGTAAATGATACTGCAGACATGTGACCGAAAGTTTTGTAGTCAGGCGAGACAAAAATTGAGCTTTTTGTTCTAAATTCAAAGCGTTACATCTGATG